CCGAGCCTGCGCCGCCGGCGCTCCGCGGGCCGGGCTGGCCGCCAGTCGCCGCGCGGGCTGCGGCGAGGACGCCAGGCACCCACCGCACAGGAGGATCCTCGGGCTCGGCGGCGGCTGCGGGTCCCCGCGGTGGAACTTTTTACCGCCTTTGCCTTCCAGATTGGAGACTCGGGCTGGTTTCTAAATACAACTGTACATATGTGTGATCTAGTAAAACATTCTCTCCTCTCCTTGAAGCAGCAGCTTTTTATGACATCTCCTTTATGTCAGAGACACTTGCCTGGCTTCTTTGGGTGATAAACTTTCGATGCCAGACCTCGGCAGGACGTGCCCAGCTGAATGTTAAAGTAGCATCTCGGAGAGAAGCAGAAAAAGAGCAAATCCGTGACCTTCATCCCTGCACCTTCCTCCTTTCCTCTCCCTTCCCGGCCGCCTCCCTCCTCCCCAGGGGAGCGTCGAGAAAAAGCTCTTCTTGGATGCAGGAGGGGGCTTCTGGTTCTGCCGGGCTGGAAAGCTGAGGCAGGATTTGAGGAAGAATCATTAGAGTCGGGAGAGCCTGGACTCCGCTTCTGCTTCCCCCTCTCTGCTTCTGGCTGGTTCCAGCCCTTTCAAAGCTCCCTCCCCACGCGGCTGCCTGAGACCCGCCGGTGTGCGGGGGAGGGGGGGCGGGGGACGAGGACCGAGCGGCTGCCGGAGTTCTGGGAAGTTGTGGCCGTCGAGGATGGGGGTCTGTGGGTACCTGTTCCTGCCCTGGAAGTGCCTCGTGGTCGTGTCTCTCAGGCTGCTGTTCCTTGTACCCACAGGAGTGCCCGTGCGCAGCGGAGATGCCACCTTCCCCAAAGCGATGGACAACGTGACGGTCCGGCAGGGGGAGAGCGCCACCCTCAGGTAGGGAGCTGTTCTTCGGCGGGGGCCTGAGCCCCTCTGATGTGATTCCGTGGGAAGGGGCGAGCGAGAGAGAACCGGAGACTTGCGTGGGGGATTGGAGCGTGGGAGAGGGCCTTTTGCAGGCCCAAGAGGTGCCCACTTGGCGTTCTGTGGCAGATAGCACCCATTCTCCTGGACAGCTTTGTCATTTGCTGTGGCTTTTCTGGTTCCGGATCTTAGGAGTGAGCCCTGAGTCCGTGCTTGGGGCTCCATGTATCTGTGAGGCCATGACGTGGCTAGACTTACTTTTGCCTTGGTCCCGGGATGAGAGCCCTGGCATTGAAATATACTGGGGTTTTTTAGCCCGAGATCACTGGTACCCTGGTGGCTGTCTTACAGTCCGGAAGGTATGTGATGAGGCAGGGTAGTCCTCCCAATGGGCTGGCTGGTCTCTGTCAGAGAGATACCTGAAATTTCAGGCTCTGGAGTTGCTGTTGCTGGGCTGCGTGGCCTTTTATGAGTTTGCTTAAGAGGCAGCCATCCTCGCCAGCCCAGTGTGGTGCTCCTGGGGCCCCTATTATAAATTATGAGGGCAGTTTTATCTTTGCAGGCTCAGGCCAGGGAGAGGAAACGTGTAGCTTTTATGCAACAACACTCCTATGTGAAAAGCACAGTACTGAAAGCTTTTTGTTTTACCTTAATGAGTTACAGAGAATCACTTACATGCTCCAGGCAGAGGGGTGGAGTTTCTTGGAATATGAACCTTTTGGGACCAGGCCTGCTGCAGCAGAGACTTTAATAAAAATGCAGCCACCACTTTCCACCAGCTCAGCAGATATCATCTTTTATCCCCTTAATGAGGCAGTTCTGGTCCTCGGAGACCGATTCAGGGACATCCCAGCTTAACTCTGCTCACAGTGTACACAGGGTGAATGCATTTGCCCTGTCTGTGACTTTGATGGTTACAGTGGAAATAAAACATTGTGCGCCGGATTCTGCAACCAAGAAGCCTGGCTTCTCCAAGGAATGCATGAGGGTGGGTGGGACTGCCTTCCTGTGCGTCCCTTGACTTCCTTGGTTGAACCCTCTCCATCTGGACAAGCCTCTCCCTGGGGAAGGAAAGAAAGGCTCCTGCCTCCTGTGCTTCCTAGCTAAGCCCAGGCATTAGGGTTGATTCTTGCCACTTTGAAGGTGGTCCTCAGTTGACTCTTCTTTTGAGCTTGAGGACAAGAGCCTTGTCTGTCTGCTGGTGCATGGGGGACCCAGGAGGAGAGAGAAAACAGAGGATGGAGACAGACCTCCTCTCTAGACAGCAGGAGGGAAACCCTCTGGGCATGTGGGCACCCCTGAGCCAGTCCCAGACTAGAGGGAACGTAAAATGCCTACTTCCTTTGCCTTAGAGAAATCCTGGGGGTCCATGCCCTGACAGGCACATGTGCAGAGGGGCCAGTCTGCTCAAAGAGAGGAGTAGCAGCCGGGCTACAGTGCATGTTAACTAAGGAAATGTGGGGAAATGGTGGTAGGTGTGAAGGGATTTTGATGCTGCCACGCACCTCTCTTCATCCTCCAAACTATTACCAGGGACAGAGAGGCCCAGCACTGAATAAGGCCTCAGTGCTGAACTTTCCAAAATCCTCTGTCCTCTTCTTGCCTCTGAAAGTTAAAAACTGGAGCTTTCTGCTGTACGGGATGCAATAAGATAGTTCCACCAGCAGAGGGCCAGCTTTGATCTGCCTTCTTTTTTATTAGCTGCTGGCCTGTTTTCATGGTCTTCGGTTCTCATGTTTAGCAGCTGGGCTTCATAATGGGAATGGGAATAAAAAAGGGAAAGCTGAATAGTTGCTTTTTTGTGCTCTGTGGAGGAAAAAAAAAAAGCCTTACGTATTTGAGTATAACTGTTATCTGTTACCTGATGGCATGTTTTTTTTTTTAAAAAGTAAGTGCGTCTTATGTTGATTTTGCCTCTCAACTTCTGTATAATTTGCCCTGAAATAGAGAAATTCAGTGCATTGTTCCCATTTTAATCCTTCTTTATCCTCTTTCTTTTACCTCTCATGTTCTCTTTTATTACGTTTTGCTTTGTTTTCTTCAGATACCTCCATTTTATATATTTTTCCATGCTGTTCATTCTCATCTTTCTGCCTTTGCTTTCATCACTTAATTCTTACTACTTCCTGATTTTTAAGGTTCTGGTTTCACTACTATCACAGTGTTTCTTAAAATAACATAACTAGCTCCTGCAGGTCTCTGGGGGTCTCCATCTCTCCCCTTCTGTTTTCCGTGCTCCTTTGGTTTCCTGGTTCCACAGCTGTGTGCCTGTCTCAATAAAAACCTTGTTTGTCAGGACTCAGAGGGGGCGTCCGCTGCTTCCCGTCTCTGGAAGTCCATGACCTCAACCCCAGGTAGATGTATCATTTTGGGTTGTGTTTTTGCTTCTAAAAATTGTAATCCTTAACGGTGGCCACCCTTTAGTCTTCTGAAAGGTATACCTTTGGGCATTCAGCGTTTGGGAATTTAGTGTTCTGAATGCATCAGATGTTCAGAAGGCATTGAAAAAACTGAATGATCCCCAGGCTCATCAACCACAGAAAGTCTTTTCAAATGTGGCTGCCCTGGATCCAAGTATCCCAAGCCTGTTTCTAAATCTTGAATGAAGTCACATAGGAGGCCAAAGACTGACTAGGAGAAGCAAAAGAATCGAGAAGGCTGGGTCCTCCTTTGAAATTCACAGTGAGACATTGCCCGGCTTAGGGAAGGATGATGTCCTTCCTTGGAGGCATGATTTGTGGTGCTAGGTCCTTGATTGCACCGAGGGATGCTAGGAAGTGAGGTGCCAGAGACGGCACTGAAGTTTTGAATGTGGATGAAACTCATTTTATGTAAATGAGGCAATATTATCTTCCTCATAACTACACAGGGCTACTTGAAAAGTAGAAATAATTACGTGACTCTGGAATTATTTGCCTTCTTGGAAGAGAGATGATATGGAAAATGAAGATGATATTCACAGTGTCTGAATTATAGCTCCTATGAATCGGATTTGAATTCATTATTGTAAATGGGCCCTCTTGGCCAGAATCATTTCATGACAGTTATCTGCTGTTGGGTTAAAAATGTTCTGTGCCTTTCCATTAGATTAGATATGACAAGTATCTAGAAGTCCTGTGTCTGAATCATTGCCCACGTCAGGAAAGGAGCCCCGAATGTTCAGTGTGGTCAGCTGGTGTCTATTAGGCTATTTCAGTTACACGACGATCTCACCAGATGTGTTTTCTTCCTGGGCCTCAATCTTCTCTAAATGGGCTTTGGTTACTCGGTGGGACCACATCATGCGTGTCCACGAGCATTCTGAGGGGGGGTGCAGTAGCGTGGAGGTGAGAGTTGTTGCTCTAATTGTTCCACTAAATGGGAAAAGTTTCCACCAGCAACCTGGGTGGGTTTTTTTTTTTTTTTTTTTTTCCTTTTAATTTTTTTTAGTATGGCAGGATAATCAGTTTTGCTGATCCAGGTTTGCTGATCTGGGATTATGCTTAGGAACGCTGTTCTAAAATACCCTTGCATTTTCATTTGGAACTGTGAGCTAATCCCTTTGGAACCAAGTATTTGAGAGTTAACTACTACCAAGGAAGAAGCTGAGCAGCAGGGTGTTGCCAAAGCTACCGGGGTAGTCAGGCTCCCAGGGGCGGCATCCTGTCATTGGCCTGGGTGTTTTTCCGTCTTTTGCACTCACCATCGGCAGCTTTTCTTTTTGTGTAAATTAGAAAATTCAGACTAGCAGCCAGGTTATCCAAACAAGGCCACAGCATGTGCGTTTCAGCGTTTAAGTTGCCTAACCTGAATACGGACTTGCATTAGTGCAAAGCCTTTGCTCTTGGCCTGGGAAGATGGAGACACGGACACCGAACCAAGTGCAAGTCCTTGCGGGGCCCCTCCAGCTGCACTGCTAACCCGGGCTGCACTGGAGTTACCTGAGATGCTTTTTAGACGTTCCACAGTCAGGATCCCAGACCAATGAAAGCAAAATGTCTGGAGTTGGGCATAGGTGTGGACATATTAAAGATCTCTTCCATTATTGCTCATGCTAAGAACCACTGCCCCAGAGTCCTTTCCTGACCCAGAGCATCTGAGCTGGTCTCCAGTGGCCCTGCCCACACTTACGTGTCCCCTACCTGCGTGCGTGGACTTTAGCACTCACGGCTGCCGTAGTGCCCAAGAAAGAACAATGGGGCCTGAATACTCACCTGGGTCTGATTCTTACTCCATCCCTCACCAGCTACATGATTTTGAGCACTTCACTTCCTTTGTGTACACTTGGGAACAGTATCTGCTCCGTCTGTGGCATCTGGGAGATGAGTGGATGGCATTATTCTGCTGGCTGTAAAGCAAAACACACGTGCAGGTTATTACAGGAGCTAAAGAGAACCCCAGTGACAACCCGTAATACTCTCCATTCTTTCCAGTTTCCTTTCTCATCCCCACTCCCCCCGCCCCCATACGGACCTTTAGAATTCTTAGTCCTTTCCCAGTTCCATTCAGCATCCCTCTTCCTGCTCTGGTCAGGATTCACCCTCATCTGAGTCCCAGTAACCCCTGCTGTAGATCTTTGTTCTGACGGGTACACACTGTGGACTTGTGACCTACGAGTGGGCGTGGTTGGACTGTGAGTTTCGGGGGGTCAGTGGCCACGTCCTAGGTGTTGGGTACAGACATCATCATGCCTACTGAGGATTCAGATAATAAGTCTTGGCTGAATGCTTTAATCCATCAAAAAGGGGCTCAGTCTCGTATAATGGAGTTACCTCTGCAGTGATGAAGTGCTTACAGCTACAGGGTTTCATTTTCCTCAAAATATGGTGGTCGGTTAGAGCCCTTGGAGGCCTGAGGGGCTTGAATTCTGCTGAAATCACGTGTCACGGGGAACAGTTGAGTCCACCAGCGGTCCCCATCTGATCTGAAGCTATGCGGAAGGTTTCACCAACCCTGAGGGCAAGGCAGGAGTGGGGCAGCAGAGCCAAGGGAGT